TTGGATCCTACCGGGCCTGCAGCTGCCTCCTAAGGTTTGACTGTGTGCGGTGGGTAAGTAGCGATCTGACAATCTATGGCTTGTGTGCCGGCAGAAAGGGCTCCGCGTGCCAGCTGTGGCACGCGTGCCATAGGTTTGCCATTGCTGGTTTAATGGCTGTTTTCTAATTAAGAGCTTAGATATCAAACTGTTCTAAGATCCTATTTAGTAAACTGATGAAAACCATAGCTGCCATTTAGTTTTCAAAGGAGTAGCTGTGTTAGTCTGTGCAAACATAATCAGACAAAGACAAAATGAAAACAAAAAGCGTATGACTGGCGTGTAATGCCAAATAGTTCCACTTTTGTTGCTTTTTCCTACCTGCAAGATCTTGTAAAATTTAATAGTTGTTTCAAGAAGGAAGGAAAGAGCTTTATCTGCATCTCATTCAGCAGGAGTTAAATGGTTAGCTTTTGACAATCACTGAAGTATCATTTGTGGATTAGGGACCTAGGAAGGAAAGAGCTATATCTGTATCTCATTCAGCAAGAGTTAAATGGTTAGCTTTTGACAATGACTGAAGTATCATTTGTGGATTAGGGACCTGTAGATACTATAATAACCTTATCAAACAAAAATTTTTGCTAGTAAGTAGGAGAAAGAGGGAGGAGTTTTCAAAAGGATTAGAAACAGCAAGTTTCTCTTTAAACACAGGGCAAGTCTGTTGTATCCTTTTGTATATGTGTGAAAAATGAGGGTTTTTATTGTAGTATTTTAATACATTTTTCAAGTACAGTACTGTTATTGTTCAGTAGGGACATTTTATTCTTCCTGTGTATTTTTGTCCTTTCCTATCTGTTGCCTCTTTATATTCTGTCAAAATCTGAATTCTGCATCAGACTCAGGACCAGACTTATTAAAGACAACTTCTTAATTAGAACTAAAATCACATTAGCATTCTAGACATGTGATGCATGTCTAGGATGACCAGATATAAAAGAGGACAGGGTTTTTCTGCCTTTAGCAGTTTTGTGTGGAGGAAATTTCAGCAGATGTAGCTTTCGTTGAAACCTGCACCTGATGGAATTTCCTCTTCTAAGTAGCTGTAAAAAGTTGAGGAACACTGTTCTCTTTTTCATCTGGCCACCTTATTCATTTCTGAGAAAGCAGATTTGCAAATAAAGTTGTTCCTGAAGATGAGACACAAAAGAAACAAGCAACTTTGCAAGTTACAAAAAGCTGCTTCTATGATGCTTAGATATTTTCAGCAATTAAGGAATTTACTCTTTTAATCATGGATTGTCTGTTATGTACAGTTCAGTTCTCAAGGCTGGAAAACCAGCATTTTCCATCTATCGTGATTTCCTTGCCATCACCAACATAGAATCATAACCTTCTTGGCTAACCCCAATTTGTTAAGAAAATGACTACAGCAGCATTTTTTTCATATGTGTTGCTCACAGAATAAAACCAGTTTCATATATAAGTCCTTGTAGACTGCCTGTGTTATGAATGCTCTGTTGTCATTTCAGTACTGGGAAGATAGTGCTCATGCACACAAACACACTTGTAAGGACTAAAAATATATCAGCATGCCAGAAAGAGATTTTTTTTAACCTGATGGGAATTCTGAAAATTCTGGTACAAATAATCTTCATGTTGACTAAGAAATAGTTTAAGCTTCATTATTCCTCTTTCTGCCTCTCCTTATAAATAAAACTAGGCCTTAATGAACCAATGGAATGTCTGTTAGCTAATTGCTATAATTAATTTCAGTGCATTGTGCCCCAAAACTAAAATGATGTCTGTTTCTAAAAAACAATGGTTTTATTTAATTGGATAAAGAGACAGGCTAATATCTAATAAAATAACCTGCCCATAAAGCCACAAAAACCACACATTTCCTGGTTGTGGCAGTTTGTTGCAGCAAAAACGACTGCCACTGTCCTAACATGGTGAAATGGCAGGGGATGGTGGAATTCATCCCATTTCCTTCCTCCAGCCCCCCCCCATGTGACGTAAAAACCTGCTATGAAAGGCTGAGAAGCTGTTCAGAGTAGTCTGTCCTCTTAGGGAGGGCTGGAAGAGGGAGGGGCCAAAAATCCTGATGCTTCATGTTGGATTTAGGAATCAGCACCTTATGCTACTTTTAAAAGATAGCAATTTGATTATGACACAAGTTTTTGAAGATCACAGTCCATCAAAGTGTACCTTGTAATAAAATGGTTAGTCTTTAAGGTGACAGAATACTCTTTGTTACATAGTACTTGTCTTTACCCTGTGCGGATTAAAAGAATAGTGCATGCTGCATGGAACATAATGTAAAAAATATATAACAAATACCGTATTTTTCTGTGTATAAGACGCCCAATGTATAAGACAACCCCCAATTTTGACCCTTGGCAGAGGGGAAGGAGCAGCTGCAGTCAGCCGACCCTCGTGGCTGCCCATTGACTGCTGCCGCTGCACAATCACACCCTCCAGTGCCACTCACAGACTCCCTTCGGGCAGGGAACAAGGGGGCGGCATGAGTTGGAGGTGAGCCCCGGCAGTGGCTCTGGAGGAGGCAATCAGGCAGCAGCGACAGCAGGAGGAGGAAGTGGAGGTGGAGGAGTAGCCACGCTGGGCCGCCCCTTGCAGCTGCCCATTGACTGGTGACGCCGGTGCCAAGGCTCACCTCCAGCTCATGCCTCCGCCTTGTCCCCTGCCCAAAGGGAGCCTGCAAGTGGCACTGGAGGAAGTGATCCAGTGGTGGCAGCAGCAGTCAATAGACAGTCGCGAGAGGTGGCTGAGCTTGGCTGCTCCTTTGCCTCTGCCTCCTTCCATAGTGATCCGGTGGTGGCAGCAGCAGTCAATAGGCAGTCGCGAGAGGTGGCTGAGCTTGGGTGCTCCTTTGCCTCTGCCTCCTTCCATGGATAAAACGAGCCTTAATTTTTCTTCTAATGATTTTAGGGAAAAGGGTCATTTTATATATGGAAAATATGTTATATAGTGAAAGGATAGAATGACGAGCCTTAATTTTTCCTCTAATGATTTTAGGGAAAAGTGTCATTTTATATATGGAAAAATATGTTATATAGTGAAAGGATAGAATGCTGGCCATTATCCACATAACCAAATGGTATCCACATGTTTAGTATGATGTGTCTTTGATTGATTACCTACTGCTAATGACAGACAGTACTTGAGAACTGATGTACAACTTTCATGCCCAGTTTTTGAACATCTAGAGCATAAGTTATTAGCCTGTGGTCTGCGGGGCCCCAGGGGCCACAGTGTCCTCAAAGAGGGTCCACGAAAGCTTAAAGAAATGTTATTATCTTTTGCAGTTAAAATACAAAGAAAGAATCGATGGATGAAAGAAAACAAGAAAGAAAATGAAACATAGAACAAAATTTTTATTTCCTTTGCTTGTTTGAGTAAAACGTCGCTTTTCTGACTTACCGCTTCCATTAAAAACAAAAAATTCAGAAGTGAAAATAACTGTTTGATAGCAAATAACGGTTTGATATTTCTGTGAACGGTGAGAACACGAAAGTGAATTACTCTGAGTGGCTGAGAGACAGCACGTGAAATTTCTTGTTATTGTGCAGACAGTCAGAATCCGCAGGAAAAGAGAGTTAGTCAGTGTCAGTGTGAGTGAGTGGTTGGACAGAATTCATGATCGTGTTTCTTCTTTGATTTCTGATGTGAGTGAGTAGTTGGACAGAATTAATGATCGTGTTGTTTCTTTGATTTCTGCTAATAAAACTGTTTGGTTATTGTTGGGTAAATGACTTATCAATATTATCAAAGTAAATTACATAAGAATACATTTTGGCTGAGCCTCAGAATGGATCGCTGGCTGAATTTGAAACATAAAAGAACTGATGCTGTTGATGATAGTGTATCTTGCTCAAAGTAAAATGAAGCTTCTTCCAGTCATCTGAAAAAGTGTTGCCGTTATAGCAAGGAATATCTGTTGATGAGACCCTTCAAGAGAAACTAAATAAATATTTGATGAATCTTAGGGTTTTAAATCTTGATTTAAGTCTTGGTGGTGCATGGCAACAAAATACATTTAAAAGGATCCATGGTAAAGAAAAAGTTAAGAACCATTGATCTAGAGATATTCTGGTCTGACTGGTAGACACTGAAACCACAGGGTGGAACTTGAGTCTGACCCTGCCAAGCAATTCATATGATAACTGGATAAGGACTGTGGGTAAACCAAACATCACAAAATGTATAAATAATTTTCATTTTTAATTTAAAAATATTTATTTTCCAAAGGCCCTCAGGCAAAATAAATATTCAAACAGAGAGTTTGGGATATTAGTGCTCAAATGGATATAGAACTGCTTTCTAAGAACAAGTCCTTAGGTTAGTTATCCAAGAACAAAAATAGTTTTTCAGTCCAAGAAATATTTAGAAATAAACCTGTCTCAATCTCTTAGAAAGGCTTTTACCAGACTCAGATTCGAACTGCTGGACGCCATGACCAAACATGGTTGCTTCCTTCAATTCCCTTACCATGAAAGAATTTGTACTGCTCCACTATTGAAGATATTACACATATTTTATTTGATTGTGAGCTATATTCCACTGCTAGGTAAAACTATTTATCCATCCTGTTGGGGAAAACAGCCCATTGGAATTGAACTTTAGACTTTCATATATTCTTCAGAGTTCCAATTATGAACGTTGTTCACAATACAGCAAAATTCATATCTAAGGCAATGGGCATAGGATATCACTGTATTGATCAATAGGGGTTTCCTGCAGGGGTGACTCACTCAATTTAAATATTTATATGTTGCTTTATATTTTAC